TAATGTAGACAGTAACCATTTCTCACTAACTCTAAAATGATGATACTGCACCCTCTTGACAGGAAAAGGGCTCTGCAACAGTCTGAAAACAGCAGGAGGGATGCTGTTCTGTCACCTCAGGCCATAACCAGTATGAGTCACCAGAAACAGATAAATGGAAAACAAAAGCCAATCCCACTATTTTTTATATCCTAAACCTTGAGAAATAGAGGGACAGTTGGTAGATGGTCATCAGAAACAGACCATCCCCAAATGCTGAGCTACAGCCACCAAGTAACAGAGATATTATACGAAGCTACTATGTCAAGCCCTTGGGTTTGTTCTGTTCTAGCAGCTCTGAGAAACATAAACCACATTTTCGTTCAGGTTTATGCAGCATACCTCCAGTACCACTGTTTATCCTGACGTGATGGGGCAGTCCTTCCTCATAAGATTTTAGACTGGTAAGGCATCTGACATCAAAGTCCTGGAGGTATGCCACAGGGGCATGCACAACACACTGTCCAGCCATAGATTGCTGCAGAGGGTTCAACAGAAATGAGGACATTGGACATTGTTCTAGCCTCTTGGTTTTCATTTGAAGACTGTTAGTGAAATGATAAGTGATAAACTATTAATTGGGATGCCAAGCTTGCTTTTACCTCTTGCAATAATGAAGACATTATGATTTTGGGAGATGAACAGGGAGATCAGGAAGGATAATGTTTACTTTTAATAATGATTTGGGGCCTTTTTAGGTTTAAAAAAATATATTCCTCCACTTGAAACAGCAAGTCGCAGAATCTGATTACACAGCCATAAGGAGTGTGATATACAGAGAATATCAGAGAAAGAGAAACCAAAATATCATAAACACAAAGTGATTACCTGGGGAATGGTAAAATACTCATTTTCTTCTGTCATAATTGGATCTCCTTTCTTGTAACCAATGAAAAGTTTCCCAGGAGAAGTTTGCAAAGAGATCTTAAATGAAGGAACTTTGGGTGTAGAACTGCAAGCAAGTTTAAAAATTAAACCTCTATCTCACACCAATAAATACACATTTGCTTTCATGTCCCATGTTTTCATACAGTACCAATGATATCTCTCCATTTGCATTTAAAGTTCATATCCTAACATTCTAATTTCAAAGTAACTTTCATTATAAAACCAGCTTCTATTTTCAGTAACATGCTTAATGCATGTGTTGAGAAAATAAATTCCTTCTGACTTACATAGAGCCATGATAGAAGTAGCCAAGAAATGGTGTGTTGTTAAGAGAAGACTGTACACAAAGGAAAGGAAACCAATCAGGGACATATTCCATTGACTGAGAGGAGCACAGATGATCAAAAGGTGGGTTTACATCCCCACCAAAGACTCCAGTGAAACATGATTCATTGAATAACTGCTTCAAGTCTGGTGAACACTCCTGAAAGGGAAAAGAAAGGTCACCTTAGCACAGCAACTGCATTACCATAGGCACTATAGCCACACTTGCAGGTGAATCAAACCAGTTTAGTAGATAAAGGTCATACTTACTGTTAGAAACACTGGAACAGCAAAAACAAGCCCTCTAGCCCTATCTAGTCTGAATCCCATTCTGAACCTCTCTCTCCCCCCAGGCTATAGAAAGAACCTAGAAATGTTTTAAACACTTCAAAGTTTAATATGAAATAAATACCAGGTCACAGCAACAACGAACATCACAAGCTCCAGCTGTCAAGTCACAAGGACAAGAGCCCAAGGGCTGAAACACCTGGTTTGGGATGACAGTGGCATTTTCTGTAAAAGAATTTTAAAAAGAAGATAAAATCAGCTTAGATGGACAGAAATCCAAAGAGCCCACATGCATTGCAATTTATTCTGTGTACAAACCTTCTGTTGAATTCTATTGATGATTGTTCACCATCTCTTACTGCTGCCCAAATCCAAAAGTACTCTCTTTTTTTCATATTTAGAGAAATAGAACAACCAAAATACCATTTCTTCTTTAGCACGTGTAAACACTCACCTGACACGTTTCCAGTAAAGGAAGAGTTGGCATATATTTCAGCTTGAACCAGGAGATGCGCCAACATCACCGAGTCACGGCAAGCTAAAACCTGGAGTGTTTCGACCACACAAAGAGGTGCTGTGCAGCAGTCAGTGGCATTTGGCAAACACAGCTGCAGAGTTCTAGACAAGCTGACAGTCAGTTTGGAAATGTTCTGGAAGAAATGCAAAATCAGGTTTGACAGCTTTGGTGGCTTGTATTCAATTACTCTTATTTAGGCTGCTCTTCAGCTGCTGAAAGAGAAGTTTCATTATCACTGGGTTTTGTCAGCACTACAATGCAATGACATGCTTCCTATATAAAACTGGATATGGAGAGCAGAATGACAAAGGGTCTGTTACTGAAATATGCAAATAGAGAGAGGATATGAACTGCGCACACAACTTTGAGGCACACACAGAGATTGTTACTGTAGAAATCACATGTTCTAAAGAACAGAACAAATACTGAAAAGTGAGTTTCAGTTTTTACAGCCTCCTTCAGCTGAAAAGCAGATAACTGCAGAGCTAATAAAATCCCTAAGGAATTACGTACAACATAACACTGAAGACAAGCCTAATGACTACAGACGCTCCAGAGCTCATGCTGTTTGAAAGGACTACTTTTTATTTCTATTACCTCTTTCCAGCAGATCTGAAACAGTCTTAAATGCTACAGACAACCAGGAAGTGCAGGCAGTTCTGGAGAGAAGGAAGGCAAGAAGAAACCAACACCAAAGCTGCACCTCAGCAAATTACAGGAAGGGCACACAGAGGCAAGACATTCAAACTGAGTTGTTGGTACGTTAACATTTTGCTAGTGTTTCATTAGCCCTTAACATATAATAGTCCAGTCCTTCCCATTTTAGGCAAGAATCAGTATTTTACATACCATACCACGTGTTACGTTTAAATTCCAATCGCCAGCGCTTTCACTTCCATTGCAGTTGGCGAGTTGCAATATTCCTGTATCAAAATCAAAAGCATTCCACTGTCATTTTGACCAGGCTGGGCAATCAGCAGCACAGTTAAACTCCTCTTGTGCCTTCAAGCAGGCAGATTCTCAGGCCCAGGCGACAAGGAGTCAACAGAAGACTAAGGGCTTCATCAGCAAAGACCTTTGGAGTTCCTATTTCAGTAAGTATCAAAGCACTCAAAGCAGTGCATTTCTCCAGTAATTTTAGTGTCAGGAGATATGAATAAGTCACACATTTATTTACACACTGCTGGGGGGGGGGGGTGTTCTTACCTGTCTCTTCATCTCTAGGGCTTAAATGTATAGAAAAATGAACACCTGAAGGATTTCCAAGAAACAAAAAATTGACTCTGGGCCCTGACATATGGATAAATGAAGGCTGGAAGACTGAAAAGAAAAAGAAAGAAAGAAGCAAGTCTTTACACAGGTTAAGTGAAAAAGGTAACATCTACAAAACATATTTAGATCTTACCTCCTACATTGTAAATTGTCACAAATAGAACAAAGCTATCTTGTGATGCCCCATGCAGGCCTGTATCTGCATTCATGCAAAGGGCCAGAGCACTGGGCTCACTGTAGCTTTCTATACAAGTCTGCATCTGCCAAGATGCTCAGTAAATAAATCCTCAGTAGAGTAACTTTATGGCAGGAGGCTGCAGCACTTACTGGTCCATACAGATACACGCACGGGACAGACAACAATGTATTTAGCATTTCTTGCTGACTTCAGTTTCCACTTTTAATCCTCGCAGCTATGAATGGTATGGGGACTATACCTCTATTACGTGTGATATGCCTACTACCAACTAATGTTCTCTGCATGTGGACAGTTTCAAGTGTAGGGCTCCAAGTTGAGTTCCACTATAGTTTCCTTTACAGGCCGTACCAAGGCTGACAGGCCCAACACAAGCGGCTCCATCTTCCCCCCTCAGACCCCTTCCCCACACCCTGCCCGCCCTTTTACCCCCCTTCCCTCGGCAGCCCAGAGACCGCCGCTCCTGGAGGCGCTGCACCCACCGGGGTCCCCAGCGCGCTGCCCGGCGCAGAGCTCCGCCAGCAGCACCAGCAGCAGCGCCGGGAGCACAGCAGCCTCCATGGCGCCTAAGGAGGGCCGCGCCGCGGGGCCGGCTCCGGCTCCGGCCCGGCCGCCATCTTGCGGCGCCCGCGCGGCTCCATGGTAACGGGAAGGGGCGGGAAGCGCGGCCGGCTCACGGGAAGGCGGGACGGGGCCACCGGCGGAACCCGTTGGGCGGGCGGTAATCAGCGGGCGGGCTGGGCCACGGTCCCCGCATCATGGTAGGGACCAGCGGAGGGAGCCCGGACACGGCTGCGCCTGGTCCTCCCCCCGAACTCCACACGGACACATCCTCCCTCAGGCGCTTCAACCAGTGCCAGATCTCAGTGTTACACCATACAGTTAAAACCATCCGGTATCATAGCAATATCTACCCACACTGGAAAAGGTTTTATTACAAACTTCTTATATAAAGTGAATTATAATACAGCCGTCAACCAAAGCAATCCAGGAAAGGTCCGGCATTGTAGTTGTTACACTGATAAAACGCTGACATGACGTAAATTCCTCTACACACCTTGGGGAGAAAGAGTATCTGTGGTTTTCAGTGTAGGAAACTGTTGCAGTGTTCCTTTATACAGGAATACAGCAGGAACAGTATTCCTTTCAGGAGAACATCAGTTACAAGCAGCAGGTTCAAACATCGAACTGTACCTTTGCTTTGTATAAGGAGAATGGTTAAACCAAAGTGATGCTCAGAAGCACACAGCACACCCTCGTGTTCTGCCCCAAAACCACCAAAGCGAAAGCCTTCATTCTTACTTGTCAAATGCCAGCTGCAGTACCATGTATTAAGAACTGCCATATTGCATAGAATTACCTTTTCCAGTTTCAAAACAACTTTAAAGACCAACCAGCCTGCCTGAAGTTACTGAAGTTACTTTAAACAAATGGACACCTTTTTATTCACAAGAGATATCCAATTAGGAGAGACAGTACAGCCAAAGGAATACGAACACATGTGAGTGCACAGGTAGGGCAGGCCAAACATTGCTAGCAAAACCTAGCAAGAGATTGAAGTCCCTCAACAACACAGTGCTCAGGGTCTGATCTATGCACTAGAAAGGGTCATTCTTACCTTCACACCAGTGCACAAAAAGAACCAGTTTTCTTGTCTTTGGACATAACCTGGAGGAGTGAAACGTTGGCAGTGGCCAGGACACCTTCTTCTCCTTCCCAGGGTATGTGTCTTAGCAGGCTGTAACTCCTGGCTCCTCTCACATTTAAACCAGCACAAGTTACGTGGCAATACAGTGATTTGTTACTTAGAGGGCTGTGTAGAACACATACAATTTGGGTATTCATCCCTTAAGAAACAAGCAATAACACTGCATACAGTTCTCTCAGATCCAATATCACCAGTTCTTCAAGCATCTTCCACCTTACATAATTCCTGGAGGAGGTAATGATGGATTTACATAATGTAGTTACGCAGCCACCTTTAATTTCTTCTTCTTGGCTTTCATGACAGGCGGCAATGATATTTTGAAAGCAGTCCTGAAAAAAGCATTAGAAAAAGGAGCTGTCAGATCCATGGAACATATTTCCACACCCACCCTTGGGACAAGAAGAAGAAACACTTACTCGCATGTGCTACAAATAGGACTGAAGTTGCAGAATACTGGAAAAGAAAAGAACAGGCTTTCACTAGAACAGGTCACTTGAAGGTAAGGAATCAGACCCTTCAGTATTTATAAGCTTACTTGACAAGCACACGGAGCACACGTAACCGATTTCAATGAGGTTGCGGTGACAGAAGCATGCAGCTCTGTAGTCGACATGAACGGGAGGTGGAAGGACAAGCTGTGATCTTTGCTCTTGATCAGGGAGAAACACCCACTGCATGAAAAGAGAATGGTGCTGTTGTATTTCCTTGTCAATGAAGCCAGTAAGATTCACATCTGACACGGGAAAAAGCACTTAAATGTTTTCTAAATGACTTACCAACAAATACTGCAGAAGGGATGGCATGTGGAGCACTTTCAGATATATGCCACCCGTAATGTCACAAGCCTGGAAAGCAGAGAATGGTCAGCTTGTTTTGGTTTATGATTACCAGGATATTTAGAATACCCACACACTGCGCAAGGCCTACATGTTGGAACTGTCAGATCCACTGAACATGTTTCCATACCCACTCTTGAAACAAATGAAAGAAGAGAGCTTAAGAACATCTCAAACTGTCTAGCATCAAGTATCTGTGAATCAATATAAACAGCAAATGGGAACAGGGAGAGGAGTCTGTACCTGTTGTAGGAGACCTGAATCAGAATCCAATACACAAGCATCAATCAAAACACTCTGCAACAAGAGATGTCATGCATAAAAGAAATGAACTTTTTTTTTTAATCTGTGGCTGTTAATAAAATATAATACATATGACAAAGAAGCCAGCTTCACCTGTTTCTGTGCTGCAAAGATCACATTCATGAAGTTCATATATTGCAATGAACTGTCTTCCGCTGCTTTTATGACCTAAATAAAACAACTCAAACTTGTTGGCCTACATAATATCACTGGATTTCAAGACTGAAATAAAACTGTCAGCGAAAGTCCTTACCAAAATCCTTGATTTCATTTCTTGATTGCCTAAATATTAAAAAGAAATGCATGAGCACATTGTTTCTATTGCCTGCAGTTTGCCCTTTTAATTCTGTAGCATCTAACATCCAAGATGTTAAATCTAACATCTCAATTAAAATACCTATAAGAAACTGGTTTATAGTCCCAGTGACAAGCATCTGTGGACTAATTCAGGCTTGTCATGAAAGCAGACCCACTTCACTTATTGTTCTAAAGCACCGAGATGTTGATCAGGGAAGGAGGTGGTCCCCGTGGAATGATCAGGATAAACATGTACCTAATCTTGCCAATTTTGGAAACAGGGACATTTCAAACCATATGTATATTTGTTTGTATGTACATATCTACTTATGTCTGATTCAAGTATTTATGGAAGTATTAAAACAGGAGAAGAGGCTTTACCTTTCACATCTTTGTTCATCCTGTTGATATCTGATTAGCTGACATTAAGGAATCTACATTCAATTCTTGAAAACAATCCCAGTATCCATGCCACATGTTCCCCACCTTAACCAACATGCATTTTAATAAGCCTGACCCACAGCTGTTAGGCAAACATTTCAGTTTTGAGTATTATTACAGGACAGGAATAGTAAAACTTAACTAATATTGTAAGAAACAGTCTTGAAAACACACAAAAGCTTTGAAGATTCTGTGACTGAAAGGATACAACAAAGGGCTTTAGAGAGTGATCCTACTAACAGTGTTTCTGTTTGCTGGCCCTTCATGTCACCTGCAATACAAGGAAAGCTGCAGAAGTTACTTTTAGATACAAAACCAGATGCTGAATGCGACCATAGCAAATACTGCAAGTTTTATCTTTGGCAAATGGCACTGATGCAGAGGCCTGAAGTGTCACACATTATAAACTCATCTCCTTGAAACATATTCAAATTCACATGGCAAAAATAAATTCCTACAACTCCTTGAAAGTCCAAGTGTTTTGCAATTCCGCATATTAAGCCTAGAATTTTCTTTGCCTTACTTTTTGTCATGAGGTCTTTAATCTCTTCTGCAATTGCATCATTGATTGCTGTTAACAACTCGTATTTTCCATCCTTGCTGCCAGAGCAATTAGATTCCACGGAACCACCACCATCTCCAAAGAACTCTGCAGCAGTCCAACCCTTCCCAGGGTACAAGAAACGGCTGAAACAGAGGAAAGTCAAAGTATATATGGTTTAACCTTGTAAGAAAAATATCCATAAACTGCTCAGCTGTAGACAGCAATACTCTGCAGTATAATATCAAATAATCTTAATACTTTAGACACTAAAGAGACTATATAAAGCAGGTAATCCTCAAACTCAAAATGGAGTAAAACCCACGTTCACCTCCCTCCTTTCAAGGCCCCTAAGAGATGGCAAACAGATGCCATGTCTGCACTTAGGGGTAGATCGTTAAGACAATGATATATTATGCATTTTAAACCTGACTGCAATTATGTACTTCAGAAGAAAATCAGGAGATAGATACAGACAAGCGTATTGTAAGTCTTCACCCTGTTAAGAAGCAGCTCTACCTTTCTTGTGTGTGACTTGCTATCACAGCAAGTCTGTTGTTGCGGTTCATAAGTAAGTGTGAGTTTCCCAGCACCATCACTGCATCGATGCATTTTGATAGGGTGAACTGCTGAAAAAAAGGAAGAAGAAAGCTGACACAGGGCAGTAACACTTACAGTGAAGTAATTCATAACTCTTAAATCACTGCCATTAAAAGAACTCAAAGATGCCGAAAGTTTCCTAACAGGAAGAATTTAGAAAAAAGCTTTGACTACATAATGCTGAGTAGCTACTTTAAAGAATATTCTAGTATCCATAAATTCTGTTTTAGCAGACAATGTCAACAGAGTTTAGAAATCAAAGGCTTATCTGCTGCCTACTTACTAACATTAAACAAATAATACCGCCCCCAGCAGCACGTACCTCAGCTTCTCCTAGCGCCTTCTTCCCCCACCAGATGGGGTTGGTGTCAATGATTACGACCAGCAGGCTCAGGTCATCGTCTGCAACAGAGACAACACCGCAGCGTCACCCCAGGCTCCGCGCGAACGCCGAGGACAGCCGCGACCGAAGACCCCCGCGCAGAGGAGGCTGCCCCAGCGCACGGGTGACAGCACCGCGAACCCCGGCGCTCCGCCTCCCCCGGGGGAGCCCGGGCACCGGAGCCTCACCCGCGCTCATAGCGCCGGCCGCCGGACCAGCTGCTCCCGGCGCACGGAGATGATGCCGCGGCACGGCGTTACGTCAGCCAAACGTGCGCCGTCACTCGGGCGGCGCCACGCCCAGGCGGGTAGGGGAACGGAACGGAACGACCATGAGCACGAACGGTAACGGGAGCGGGGTGCAGGCGGGGCGGGGCAGGGCAAGGCGGGGAGGTCACTGACGCGCCCCGCTCCCTACAGACTTGATCGAGACCTTCAGGGCGCAGCTGAGGGACGACCCCGATGTCGCCTCTGCCGTGGCCGCCATCCGCGCCCTGCTGGGCTTCCTCAAGCAGGACCGAGGTGGGTCCGGCTCCCCCCACCCCAGCTCCAGGGTACCGGCCCTGCCCCGAGTCTCCCCGCAGCGAGGCCCGTGTCGGTGGGGTTCTCACCGGGCATCGCTGCTTGTCCGCAGGGGAGACCATCCAGGGCCTGCGGAGCAGCCTCCTGGCTGCCATCGACACCCTGTCCCGGGTGGACTCCTCGGTGGCCGTGTCCTCCGGTGGGGAGCTCTTCCTCCGCTTCATCAGCCTCACCTCCCTGGAGTATTCGGTAAGGGTGGCTGCCGCCTGTCCCGCCGTGCTGCCTGCATGGGGGACCACAGCCCCGCAGCAGCTAGCGTTGTATTTTCCAGGACTACTCCAAGTGCAAGGAAATCATGATCGAGCGCGGGGAGATCTTCCTGACGAAAGTGTCTGCCTCTCGGAATAAAATCGCCAAGCTGTGTCATCCTTTCATCAGAGATGGTGCTGTGAGTAGGCAGAGCCAGGGTCACTCTTGTTTTGGTGTTCTTGCAGCAATGGAAAACAAAAGGGGAGGAGAGTGAAGGTTATTGTTAACAGCAGCATTGGCTAGTGGTGGCTTCTGCAGGTACATAGCTGTGATATCCATACCTGGCAGTGTTCGAGGCCAGGTTGGACAGGGCTTGGAGCAACCTGGTTTAGTGAAAGATGTCCCTGTGACAGGTGGTTGGAAATGGATGAGCTTTAAGGTCCCTTTCAACCTAAACCCTGCTGTGATTCTATGATCTTTCCCCTGCCCCTTCACTTTCCATGCAATCCAGATCTATCTTGTTCTACCTCTAAGAGATGCTGAGGAGTCACAGCTTCACGTTTCAATTTAAAATACTCAATCATCACTCCATCAGGGCTGGCCACATACAGTGCAGCTCATAGGGTAGTTTTCTATGCTATGATTTGTAGAATACATGTGACAGGCATTATTATTTAACATTGATGGTCACCTGTGTGAAGTAAAAGCCATGCCACCATTAGCACAAGGGCTTCTTAAAGCTCAACAGAAAGTGGTGTCTTTTTGTTTTCTGACAGCGAATATTGACACATGCCTACTCTAGAGTGGTCCTCAGAGTGTTAGAAGCAGCTGTTGAGGCAAAGAAGCGATTCAGCGTTTATGTCACCGAGTCACAGCCAGATCAAGCAGGGTGAGTACTCATTCTTTTGGGTTTTATCTTGGTTAACAGCTACCATCAAGTCTGCTAGACCTTAAGCTGCTAGGCCTGTCTGCAGCATTTTGAATGGTAACCATCACCAGTAACACATTATTCTGGACAAGTGAAAACAACCCCAATATTGGCAAATGATTCCCATACTAAATGTTCCAATTACAACATTATCTGGGTTTTCCTCAGAGCTTTACAAACTTTCAGTCAGTACCAGGCAACCTCCTTGGGAGATGGGAGACAACTGATTTCTAGTGGGCTGCTTCAAAAGTAGGCTAAAATAATCATAGCAAAGTAAAACGTTCAGCTAGCAATGTCATCTGAAGATCCTAAATAAAGTATATTAGTGATAGCAGGAAAGCAGGCCTTCCCTCTTCAAAGCACACATGGTTGTGTGAGTGAAGTAGTAAATCCTGCATGCTGCGTAATGCATGTTGCTAACAAAGATGTTCAGTCAAAGTACATAGACTCTCCAGCTTCACTGTAAAAGCTCCTAGCACTGCAGCCCATGCTTTATGTCTCGTTTCTTAAATACCCTGTTGATGGACAAGCTGAGGCAGCTCAGGTACTCTGTCATCTTAATAGCTCCCTGACTCATCTTTCTGGAGCTGTAATTCCTGACTGGTAAAACAAACTTTCTTTACTTTGAGTGGGTTTGTTCTAATCTCTTTGTTTCAATTTCTACACAATAACTGATTTTCTATTAGAAGATACATCATAAACCAAAACTACCAGCAAGAGAACATAGGCAGTCAAGGGTTTCAGGCCTTCAGACAATATTTTTCTAGCATTGTCTTTAAAGAAAAGGCTTCTAAGCTTCAAACATTGTTTTTTTCATAGGCAAAAAATGGCAAAAGCCCTGAGAAAGCTGAACATTCCCGTGACTGTGATTCTGGATGCTGCAGTTGGGTAAAGTCTGATCATTAAATCTTACTATTTTTCAGCATAATTTTGAGAGTGTTAGATGTAAGTTTCCTAGAAGCTTGTCCAAATCACAGAAGTGATGACTTGGTTTGTCACAGTCATCAAACAAGTTGAACAAGTTACACCTTTAGGTGCACCATTAGGAGAACATGTCTGCTACAAAGCAAGTATTTGATGTTTGCATGTCAGAGTGACAAAAGGAGTCAGACCTGAGTGTAGACCTTGTGGACACTTGTAGAAAAAGAACTGAGCTGCTACTTTTTCCCTCATTTGCACACATTATCATTTGAGGGTTTCTTAAGCTATTTGATAAATGACCACTGCTCAGTATAAGTCCAAAACATAAGAAAGAACTATAATAAATCGGAAGCTCAATTCAATGAGGCACTTGTCATATTACCCAGTAAGTATTGGATTTCTTCCCTCCCTTTGAACAGCTACATTATGGAGAAAGTGGACCTGGTGTTAGTTGGTGCTGAAGGAGTAGTTGAAAGTGGTGGCATTATCAACAAGGTAGGAGGTTGTGGGATTATTACATTGTTCTGTAAACTCCAGACTTTTAAAGTTTGATTTCTTTGAAGAATTCAGGGCTTTCTGAAAAAACTCTTCTGTTTGGACATTATCCAGTAACCATCTATTTATGGTTGGAAACTGGCCAGTATTATGTCACACTAGCACTGAGCCTGCAGTGTCATTTTCCCTCTGTCTCCACAGATTGGCACTAATCAAATTGCTGTGTGTGCCAAAGCACAGAATAAGCCGTTTTATGTGGTAGCTGAAAGTTTCAAGTTTGTGAGGCTTTTCCCTCTGAATCAGCAGGATGTCCCAGATAAGTTTAAGGTAAGAGAAATCCAAATTACTTCTTAGCCAAGGGGCTAAAAACAGGTAACACACTTCAGCACTACCAGTTGTTCTTTATACGTAAGATACAACAGCTGAGACCAAGGTGGCACCAGCCCGTGCCTCATTTTAAAGCAACTGACTTCCTTCAGTTTTACCACAAACATCTGCTTGGGACTACAGCACCACTCTTGCCCCAGAGAGGTTTTAATTTCCAACTGTCTCCATTTCCTTCTAGTACAAAGCAGACACTCTGAAAACAAATCAGAACCTAACAGAGGAGCATCCGTGGATTGACTACACATCACCATCACTCATTACATTACTGTTTACAGACCTCGGTGTGTTAACTCCCTCAGCTGTCAGTGATGAACTTATTAAACTCTATCTGTAACAAAGAGGACTCTATGTACAGGATGCATCATCTTCAATGACTGTCACAGTTGTAAGAACTCGGAGGATGATACAAGTTAAATGGACACAGTTACGGAGAGGACATCATAAGGATTAATGTAATTATTGGCCTTCTTGAGTTTTTAAAGCAACATGTTATATATAGGTGGACCACTGTTGAAAAAGAAAGTTACTACAGCTTCTAAAGATCTAAAATAAATTATTTGAAAGATGGGTGGAGTATTTTGATACTGTAAAATAAAACACCTTAAGGTGGATTCAGCCTCACTGTGAGGTGTGCTGCTACTTACTGCTCTGGGGTACATACCTGAAAAAAGCAAAGTGAAAACAGGCACGAGGCTGCTAATGGCAACCTGCAGCTTTGGCCACACCATGCGAGAGCAGTTCTCTTAGCTGTGTTCTTAACTACAGGCTTCTCTCTTTGTCCTTGTGGGCTCCAGGTCTCTTACGAAGAAATTAGATCAATTCCGTTCTCTGCATCACTGTTTTGTTATAAAGATCCAGTTTTATTGAAATAGGCAGTATTTTAATGTAAAAGCATGGTTAGAGAAACTGTCAACCTTCAGACTCTAAGTCAACAACAGTTCCTGCTTTGAGCCTACTCTGGCTGCTTGTTAGTCTCTTCTCAAATTCTTCTTCACTGATTTTTCCCTTTTTTAATCTTTTCAAGAGTCTTGTGTCATTCAGCAACTCCTCCATATCCTCATCTTCAATATCAGAGCCCTGTTGGCAGGTGAAAACCAACAAATTAAGCAACACTAAACACACACCAAGAGGTTTTCATTCCATACAGCTGAACACAATAAAGTTTACAACTCTGATACGCCAGAACTATCCAAGTAGGAAACAATATTTGATTTATACCTAGGAAACCACCGTTAGGTTTCTCAGTTTTTCTTGTTGAGAATTGAAAAACGCAAATTAAACCCCCAAAGCAAGTACTGTCCACCATTGTGCCATACTGCTGGACCTTACAGAAAGAAAAAGCTATGCTACCTCTGCAGGCAGCATTACTGATCAGCATCAGAGTGCTGAGAAGTTGTTTTAGTGTTTGCCTTTAAGAAGCTTCTCTTTTATAAGGTTTGCCTGTCAGGGTCCTAAAATGTTACTTTACATTCTTCAGCTACATCAAACTAAGATCCCCGGCTGCTCTGCCATGGGAAGTATGTCCCTATGCTGCAGTGATCACAGGCAGTTCAATAGAACGGACACAATTTACCTCTTCATGCTTCCTTTTAGCTGTTACTTTCTTTTTCTTCTCCCTCTTGGCTTTCTGCTTTGACCAGGCTTTGTTCTTGATGAATTTCTTTTTCCCTCCATTTTCCTCTCTGTCTTTTCTTTGTTGTTCTAATTGCTTTTGTCTCTGTTTTTCTCTATTTTTATCCTTAAATGAAATGGAGTCTGTATTAACAGTGACTGGAGTAAAGTCTGGAAAACATTTTCCTCTTAGTTCAGGCATCTTTGGCATTTTTAACAATGCAAAACCTTTGGCAAGACTTGCAAAATCCAGATCTGTGAAAGTAAGGATTTATAAAGTCAGTTTCCCACTGGGTAAAGACAGCTTAACTTAGCAAGTCACAATTAGAAAACTGCAAACATTATCTTACTGTATTGTTTGCATTCTAGACTTGATAGTAGTAACAATACTAAATCACTTTTATTTATGCTTATGTCATAAATTATGTCTCTTTAAAACAAGAGAAACAAGTTGCTTGGGAAAACGGGAGTTTCGTCAGAATCTGATGCTGCAGGAAGTAAATCTGACACCAGGAATCAGGAGATGAGGCTTGTGGACAGTAACACTGTGTTCTTTCCCACACCAAATACTGTTCTGAAAAGAGCAGGAGCAGATGTCAGCCCCTGCTGGGAATTACCTTTTATTCGGAAGATGAGATTACATTCGTGTTTGGCATAAGCCTGAACGTACGACACAAACGCTTTCATCCCCTTCTCAAACACTGCCCTGTCAGCAAGAGCCATTGACTTCAGTTTGGGGAGAAGATCTAACACGTTTGTCTGTGGCTTCATTTCCTGCATGGGACACTGAAAACCAGACAAGAAACACAAAACCAAAGGAGTTCAGTGGAATGATTTAAAACGCGCTGTGAAGCTTTGAACACACACTTCTTCCCCTGCTCATCTTCAGCCAGCTCTGAGCCCCCTTCTGTGTGATCACTTTGACATGAGTTCAGCATTCAGCCCCACACACCCTTGTCTTACCCCAGCAGGGCAGTTCACACACCACAGCTGGAGACAGGCCACAAGCTCATCTCACCCTTATCAAGCTCTGTTCTCACTAGCAGGCTCCAGAGAAGGTTTACAGTTAATCACACAAACACGTGAAATTATCAGAGTTAAAGAGTGTTAAAGGGTTTTAAGCCATTCTCATGTGTAAATAATGATAATCAAGCATAGAGCGTATGCTAAAATATATCAGAAAAGCCGCTCTTGTCTTTCTTAATTGTGCGTTACCTATGCATATCCCCCTAAGTTCTACAGTTTTGACCCTAACCTCCTATCAGTGAGTCTGTTCCCTTGCTCTTTCCTGCCTTAGAATAAGTCTACTAACCTTTTGGTTGATTGAGAGAAAGTTAACATAAGACTCTTCCATGGGAAGCAAAAACACAAGTGCGCTGCCGACGTTGCCGATCCGTGCTGTTCTACCACACCGATGCACGAAGGCACTGAAACAACAGAGAGAGGACTTTACAGGAGGGCCTCAGCCTGGTTTTGAAGTGATAGACAGCAGAGGGGCAAATCTTGTGGAATTAAAATACAGAGTGCTGTATGCTTTACTCTTAAACCAAGAGGAATAAGTAAAAAATGGTAAGAGAGACATGTAGCAGTCCCATTGGACTGTTAGGGCTAAAGCAAGGGGGATCTGCATTAGTGTGAAGCTTTAAGCATGTTGTGGGGAGAATTACAGCAATGGAAGTTAAAATACATAGAAAAGAGCCTTTTGTTGCATGTACCCGATTTATATCCAAACAAGACAGTAACGTGACCGCAAGCTGAGTGAAGGTTCGTAAGACCCGAAGCTGTACCTTGCACTGCTAGGTGGGTCGTACTGTAAAACCCAGTGTACTTCTGGGATGTCTATGCCACGGGCCATCACGTCAGTGCAAACTAAAATGCCACTAGGAAGAAGAAAGAGCACGGTTTCATTAATCTGTCATTTGAGAAGAGCCAGCCCACCTCCAGCTGTGTGTTCTGCATCTACACTGGAGAACGGGCAACAAGACGTGGGTTTTGAAAAGAGACAAAATACCCAAGGTATCTGCAGCTTTCACCAACCAAAATTGTACACAACGTTGTGAAAAGGAATGGGATTTACATCACCAGGAAAAATCAATGCCCTGTTACAAGTCCTCTTATTAAATCACCATTGTGTCCACCACAGCTGAAAGTCATTTCAATAGAAGACTTCAGAGACTGACAGTTTCCACATGTTACTTGAAGCAGTTCTGCTGCTGCTGGGAATTACGTTTCTTACTCATTTTCTTACCCCGGGAGCTTCCGGAATGCAGTAAAAATCTTGTTCCGTTTGTGTTTCATCTTCCCATGAATGCTCATTATTTTCACTTGTTTAATTAAGGATTCCAAAGCCTTCCCATAGTATTCCACACAGGCACACGTGCTGTGTTGATACAGACAGACATGAAGGTAAGAGATTATGCTGCATTTTAAAGCCTCAGAGACCTTCCTAGAATATATACTATGGCTTATTTTTATTTATAATATATGTGCATTGCTTTTATAATTAACATATAATAATCTCTAATGCTTTCCTTTAAAAATGCATATCAAATTCATGTTTTGCTTAATAAAATTCAACCAAATCCTGACATGAAGCAATGATCAATCTATTTTTAGGCACCATATTGTACAAGACAGCCATTACAATTAGCCGCTTCTAAAACAGTTGCGTCCTTGCAAACACAAGGCACAGCTCTGGAATTTAAGTACTAAAACAGCGAAGGGTTCTCACAGTGAAACCCAGAATTACCTGAAAAAGACCAGATGTTTTTCCTGTTTGTGCTGCCGCAGAAAATGCACCAACTGATTAAATTTTTCATCTGCTTTGCAGATCTGCACAGTTCAAAAGAAAAAAGAGGTAAATAAATGGACTCAATACAAAGCAATCTGCCCGTTTCCTCCATTCACTGTGCACTAACAAATGACCACAGGTGTAATTTCTTAACACGGATGGATCACCTCTCCCATAGTTCCTCCTGCAGAATATTACTCTTACATATCTTGTTTTAAATACAAATATTTGGCTCCCAGTCTTCCCATCCCCAGCCACAACACCCCTTCCGCAGCAGTATCTCAAATATCCCTCAGCAACTGCCAAAATCTCTCCCCATTCCTTAGCAGCAGGTCAAGGAACTACAGCGCCGCAGCTAGTTTGGAGTTACAACAGCCAAACAAAACTCACAGAGCAGAAAACCACACAGTTGCTAATTTAGATCCTTCTCCTTAGCTTGGTGATTGATCTTTGGAGAACCTATAAAGGCTTTGTATCTTGGAGACTTCAAATTCCTCTACTAATGTGATCCTATCTGGGCAAGACTTATGGACAGAGCCAGGAGAAAAGGAGAGGGACCAAGAAACCATCACGAAGCAGAGATTCGCACCATGTAGTAGTTCTGCAGGCGTGTTGGAGTTTTCTGTGTGTTGCTTGCTGCCACTCCCTTCTCCTTCACCGAGATGCGGACAGGGTTCCGGAGACCTGCCCTCACCAGGTTCTCCACCTCTTGAGTCTGAGTTGCTGAGAACAGACCTGTCCGTCTCTGCTTGGGCAAAAAGTCCAGAATGGCATTTAAACTGCAAGTAAGCACATGTAGAAATAACTGTCCCACGATTTCCCTCAAAAAAGAAGTTTAATCACTGGAAGTAAGAGTTTACAAAGTAAAATTTCATTATCAAGTGCCAATCTTCTATTGAGCTAACTAACTTTGAAAGAAGGATAAAAGGGACATCAAAGCTTATTTGTTAAAGCGTTTTAAGGCATTCTGATGTGTAAATAATACTCAAGCTAACATACATCAGAAAAGAAGAACTTTTAAACTCTGTATTCATGAAAGATCTGCTCCTTCTGATTCTCTTCCCCCCCAGCAACAGCTTTATCTAGTCTATGGAGCAAAGAGAGATAAAAGAACAAAACTTAACAAATCTAACTTTAGAGGTCATCACAGGCCACGCTCACGTCA